CCTGGTAATCTTAAACTCTTAGGTTTAATAGAAATCCGACAGCTCATCCAAGAGAAAATAGTCCATTTGTGGACATTGTATGCCCACCGCAGTCTTAAGTATGGTGCTTAGAGGCACTTCAGGCTGGCTGCAGCACCTTGCCTACCCTGTTCCTTCTAACCTGTCTGCTCACTATTTATTTAATATGCCTACCAAAAGTTTCTAGGCCCTCACCTTATGCAGGGAAAGTAAGTGGCCCTTTCTCCATATCCACGGTAACTAAACCTATCTCCAAAGATAACACTTTGTCCCCACCCTCCTGGCTTTTCTAAACTAATACTGTGGCGTGAAGTCATACTGTGAGGCAGGACCCCCATTTCTGCCTTTTAGTGCCTACCTGTCCTTAGGTGAGTTGGAAATGGTAGTTTCTTTGGCTTCTCAGCTTTTCATCGACTATGTTAGTTATGATTGAGAGTAAACCAAACTACTTGTGAATGTTAGCTTACTCCTTTTTCTCTGACATTGTCATGGATTAAGGATATGCCCCCTCAGACACATTCTAATAATTCTTGTATTGTAGAAGCAAGTTACGTCATTTGAAGTGCTGCTATATTTTATTAGCTTGCCTTCATAAATCTATCTTGAACACACAAGGTAGGTACTGCTCTGCAGTTTTTATGCTTTTCCAAAGATGCACAGAGACATCCCAACATTGTTAACACATTCCTGAGTGCCATTACAGCTGTGATTTGTTTATTTTGCAACTGTTGGTACCCATCAGCTGCTGGACTTAAACAAGATCTATATTGTAATTTGCAGAATGTTAGGACTGCAGCCCTGGAATGTTAGGACTGGAACTAGCTGGAGGAGGAGAGTAACATTGACTTACTATGAACATGTGACTCCGAGCAGGCAGGTATTCCAAACCACATGATCTCTTAGCTTACTTAAAAATTGGCTAATCCTATAGTTTGCTGATCCAAGGTAAATTAAGAAATTAGGGGGGCGCCTGGATGGCTCAGTCGGTTAAGCATCCGACTCTGGGTTTCGCCTCAGGTCATGGTCTCCTGGTTGTGAAATTGAGCTTCTCTCCCTTCCTCCTTCCAAATAAATAAACTTAAAAAAGAATATATACCTACTTGCGGAAATCATGAGAATAGGTATAGGTTGCCTAGACTCTTCCTAGAGCCATTTATACAGGGATAGGAAGTGGTTTGTATGAGGAAAGAACTTAGGGAGCAGCAGCACCCTTTACCATATCCGTGGCCTGGAATGCTTTCATTTTTCCAAGCTTAACTTGTGCCGCCACTTCCACTTGAATATCTTTCTGGGTTTTCTTTTTCTAAAGCTCATTATACATTTAAATGGAAAGGAATCAAACAAGTGTTCTCCCTATGAAGTTGCTTGAGCTCGACAAAGATGATAATCTTCAGTTACCTGCTTTGTATGAAAACTGATTTTCAAGCTAAGACAGAAGACAGTAAGGGAGAAGATTGCAAATAAAGAGAAAGCATATGAAATGAGTGAATCCCTAAAGTGTAGCTCCTGGCTTCTCCTTTGTAGGAAGTGCAAGACATGGTTGCCCTCTTGGGAGCTTATTGCGTAGGTAATGAGGAAAAGCATAAATACTGCTAGGAGGGGATGAGTAACTGTTAAAAATGTTCCTGGACAGAACAAGGTTAATGAGCAAATGGGGGCTCTAGGGCTGGAAGAGTCTAGGAAAGTTCTGTGAAGAGAAACCAATTTGGTTTCAGAAGTTGTTTTGGTTGGGCGTGGAGGTATGCCAAAGTGAGGGGAAAGCAGTGCTCAGTCTGAAATTACCAGCAGAAGGCTGGGTGTCAGGTCTGCTGGAGGACAGAGGCTGAAAAGAGAGACATTAGGGCTGGATCATTAGCAGAATTTTAGTGACACTCAGAGAAGAGTAGTCCTCAGATCCATGTCAGGCAGTGCAGTTCTTGAGTATTTGAACTAAAACATTTTTTTAGTATTGTAGTAAAGGATTGTGAATATTGGGGGTTTGACAGTCCTATTTGATGCCTTTGTTTACTGTTAAAAAATCACTCTTTGCAAGACAGAGTGAGTAAGAGAATTAGCTGTGCATATCAAGGCTGATGATGTGGAAGTTTAGAACATATCCCTTGGCTCAACATAGAGCCTTTTGGACATCTAAGCAGTATAGACTGAATGCTGTCCTTACCGTCAGTGGATATGAGCCTGATTGGTGGCATAAAAGTGTTGGTCGGGGTGCTCTCATTGGATGGATTTCCAGTGTGGGACTTGATTTGAGTGTTCGTTTTAACTCCTGGATGGTATACTTGTTGTCTTGTGGTATTCTACACCATTGGTTACATCTGATCTGTGTGCCAATACTGAGAGGCATTTTGTGGGAAGAATACAGAATATAGTTGCTTACAATAGGTTTCTACATTCTGTGGTTCTCATGACTTTGTGACACTGCTTACCTTACAGTTTCAGAAGTACTTACTTAGCACCTTTATGTGCTGAGTGTGCTTTTCTACAACTTCTCTTACCTGCTTCAAATGCTTTGCAAATAATTCTCTCCCAGGAGGCTTTTAGGATGGGTGGGAATACAGAGAGCTACACTGTCAAAACTATATTCAAGAGGAGTTTCCAGAATGGCCCTTCCTTCTCTCTCTTCCTTTCATTCTTCCCCCTCCATATTTCTCCCCTTCTCTCACCCATCCCCCCCAAGACTGCACATGCTCAAAAGAACAAGCCTTCAGATAAAGAAACGAAAGAAAACCTGAGTGAAAAAAGAAAGACCTGGTCCAGATCCCCAGGTGAACTTGAAAACTATCAGGTTGAAGTGAGTAGGTATTTACTATATAATTCCATAGCCAATGAAATACCTCTTTTCTTGTATTGCCAGTGACTGCATTCTTGAGAGCTGCTAGAGATAGGATAGTTCTTACCCCTAGGACAGAATTTGCTTTTTCCAGTTACTTCTGTGCCTAATCCCATACTATCTTTAATTTCAAAATCTGCCCTGTCTTGAGCTAGGCTTTTATTCTAGCAAACCAGCCATGGGAATATCCCCTTCTAATGTCTCTCTGCTGTATAATTACATCATTTAGGGCTTCTCTCAGACCACTCCTGCCCACTGTGTGCAGGTAGACCAGTGAAGGTCCATTAACTGCTCTGCGTCAGTAGAGAGCCCAAGAGCCTGAGTTAGAGATCTGGGGGAGTTCCTGGGAACCGGGGTCTCCTTGGGTGGTGAGCTCTTCAAGCTCTGAGTGGACCTGAGAAAGTCCTGATAGAGGAGCCTTTCTAACTTGAAACAAAAACCAGTCTGCTTTTTTAGTAAGGAATTTGTTTTTGGTCTCAAATCTTCCTTGATACATAGGCCTGCCAGGTCTTGGTTACCTTTGCCCTTTCTATGCTGTTTTTTGTAGAAATGCAAGAATCGATTTCATTTCTTCTTTGGAATCATGGATAGAATCAATCTGCTGCCCAGCACGTGTGGCCTTCCTAGCCAGGCTTCCTGTACACTGCCTAGAGCAGGGCAGCGGTGCTTTGGACACATTGAAAATACACTTAAAGGTTAGAAAAGAGTATGGCCACAGGGCTTCCTCTATAAAAAGGGGAAACGTTCAAACTGAGACTTGAGGCATGCCTTGCCAGCTTGCTGAGCTGAGCCTTCGCCCTATTCTCTGAGCACAGGAGGGGCAGCTAAAGCACCAGGAGGGTGAAGATCTGTATGCTAAGCCAGCTTGCCTGTTCTCTGGGAAATGATTAAGGGAGGTTGAGGTTTCTTGTCGTAGGTCTTAAAAACGGTTGGTTCCTGGCCAGCGGGGAGATGGAACTGGTGTGCTATTTGAAGTTGAATTTGGGGCTTCAGTCTCAAGTCACCTGTGGCCTCAGGAATGTGCTGGTGTGATCTGGGAGGATTTGTTTCCTCTTAGAAATCAATTCTTTTAAAAGGCTGGTTTGATTTTAATGAAGTTGCCAACACCTCCCCTCTTCGCCCTCCTGTAAACAAAGGGTGCATTGTTCCTGTACCCAGTGTGCTCTAAATAAGACACCCAATCAGATGCAGCAACCCAGTCTTGCATAAGCCTTAGTTAAAATGTAGTTTTTTGAAACAATTAGGCCATTAGCCAGAGTGGAATTCTTTAAATGGGACAGATACCGAGAGAATGGTCTCCTCTAACTCTTTGGGGAAAAAAAGCAAGTCTGGGATTACAGCTTCCAGTGGCCTACTTTAAATAGACACTACTCTGGAAGATTACTTTATTTATAAATATTTTCAAACATAAAATCCCCAAAATATAACCCAGTGAAAAGAACAATGCATGATGGTGGCCCAGTGGCTGGCTGTTGTGATATTCTTGCCCAGCATTTGTATCTAACAGTTGATTGACCTATTGAGTTGGCTTTATGACCCCCTTTAACATTCATGATGGGTTTCAGGAGTTGGCTCCTGTATTCTTAAACATAATGGAAACTGCTGTGTAAAAGTAGGCTGTAGATTTATCTAACTGAAGAGGCTTTGTGTGAAATTTTGTATACGAAGATACTTCAAGCACCTTATTAGTTTTGGGGAGGAGGAAAGGGTGCTATTAAAATGCCCTTTTGAAATTTCTGATCCCAGGTTACAGAAGACTTCTGCTAGATCTGGTTTTCCTTGAAACAGGATGTGTACTTGTGTTCAGTCTTTTCTCTGCAGAAGGAAAATGGGGGGGGAAGATGGAGCCTGGTGGTTGTGTGGGTCTGTGGTAGCTGTTTCTAGCGCAATCTCGTGTGCAGCCTAGTCTGCAGCTGCCTCACTCATGAGGTCCGAGGATTGGGGAGTTAAGAGCAAGACTTAGAATGGGCGTTTACCCCTAGAATGAGCTTAGCTTTTTGTTGCATGAGGGGAGAGGAGGTGGACTTAAAGTATTTAGCATGTGTGTACCATAATAGAGGATAACCCCCAACTGTTATGGCTGTGGGGAAGAAAAGGAGTCTCTCATGCTCTATTACTGAAACAGCTTCTTCCTCAGGGTCAACTTTGAAAAAGAAACCCAGTAAAAAGTATCTTTATTCTCATGTTAAAAAAAAGTTTTGATGATGCATTAACAATACAAAAATATTTTGAACACTACAATAGTCCTTTTCTTTCTCTCAAAACTTCTTGCAGCACTACACTAGAATATATGATCTTTGGATTCTGAGATGCCAGTGGCTAAAGTAGAGGAACTAAAGGCTTTTGTTGAGGGGTGTGTGGGTATAAGAACAGCCCTTTTTCTTTGGGTTCAGGCTATATACAGTGAGGGTGGGGGAGTTAAATTAAAAGTTTGTTTTTTAAGGCTCAGGGTTGAAGCTTGGCTCAGAAATGGGTTAAAGGAGGCTGTGGTGAAAACCCACTGACCGCCACTAGAGGTTCTCTGGGCTCCTTACTTGGATGCCGAAGGTCCTCCTTCCTACACCCCCTTAGGGAAGCTGAAGCTGAAGCGGTGTCGTGCTGGAAGGTGGGCATCGGTTGTCATGAGGTTCGGTTCGGCCTCTCTTAAAACTGCCCAAGAGCCGCGTAGACTGACATGGACAAGCAGGAGATGGAGCTGTGACAGAGGCTCTTGGTGGAGGGAGGGAGGGATGCATGCTGGAGCTGGGACCATAATTTCTTGGGAGTTCATTCACCAGTGACAGGCATGGGACCTTGGTATCAGAGCTGCTTGGGAGGTTGAGTTTCTCTTGGAAACACAGCCAAGTAATATGAACTAGAGCCAGATACCTCTCACTGCGCATACTTGCCTGATAAGGTAGTGTCAGGTTTTTCCTACTGCCTGTGGTGATAGGCCTAAACTTAACCTGTTCCGTTCCCTCCTCAGCTTGTGAGCTCTTGAGGACGTGGCGAAAGGCTTACTCTGGTCCAGCTTACGATTAACTGCTTTTCTGTCAACAGAGCTTCTCCAGGCTCTTTTGAGAGAAGCACTGTCTTAAGCATGTGGTTGTGACCATGCTCACGTGTGGTTTCGTAAACCAGCTCATTCTTGGTCCTTGAAGTGTGTGGTATGGGGAGGGCGTGGCAGTGGTGAGGCCCAGGAGGTGTAGGGTGGGGAAAGCAGCTGGGCTCAGTCCAGCCTGTTTGCGACCTATAGCAGAAAAGCGAGGGGGGGGTGGCAGGGGCATCTGGCCAGCAAGACAGATGGTAAAAGGAATAGATGCAGGCTGCTGTAGGCACAAGGGATGCAGTTAGCCGTTAATCAGAAGACACACTGCAGATCTGGTTCCCACCATTTGGCGTAGTTTGAATTGATGGCCCCAGGTTCAGGCAGAAGTTGTGCAGCCTCGGAAGTCTCCTGGGCCCTGTCCCTGAGAGGGAGGTAACAGGGCCCCTGGCCAGTTTCCACGTGCTTTGGGGCTCTGTCGCTTCCTCTCAGAGGACGAGCCCCTGGAGGAGGCCAGGTGTCCTGTACACGCTGGGCTGCCTGTCTCTGAGGTGCCTGTCGTTGCAGCTGTGTACTCTGCAGGACGCTGTGGGGGGCCTGTGGGGGTCCAGGGGACTGGGAGGCTGAGAGAGGCCGAGAGACCTGGTGATGTAGGCGCCGGCTCCGCAGGGCTAGCAAGCAGTTCTGTGGGGAAGTGGGGTAGCAGGAGGTATGAGGGCGAGTCCTGGGGGGCGGGGGACCCGGGGCAGCCTAGAGCACTGTCATCGGAAGGAACTGGGCTGGGGCAGCGGCCTTCTCCGGGTAAGTACCGAATGCATTTCTTTTTCCTCCTAGGAATAGTGAAGAGAGTTATCTGTAAACAGAGGGTGAATTCAGAGTCATACACCACAACCAGAAAATGCTGTCTTTGCACAGGCCTAACTGACCTCTTGTCCCCTCTTCCCCAGGACTTGGGTGATGTGCCTGTGCCTTCGAACCTAGCACTGTGATTCTGCTGGGCCTGGCCCAGACTTCGAACAGGTGCAGTTCCCAGCACAGCCACAAGGTGGCCCAGGAGTCTTCTGTAGGCTAGCCCTGTGGGCTGCCTCCGGTTTTCCAGGGGAGCCATCTCCTAGTTTGGGCCTCTGAGCCTCTGCTTCACGTGTCTGTGGGGCTCCTATCTGCACTAAGGCAAAGGGCTGCGATGCTCATAGTGGTGCTCGGGCGGAACAACACAAATAGCCTCCCAACGTGTGTACATACACATACTTACACACTCCCCAGGTTCCTTTTTGCCCTTGGAGAGGAGCAGGGTCGGCACTTTGAGGGACTGGACAGTATTTGTTAGAGTCTATAAGGAGCTACCAGGTCTGGCTTCAACCAGGCAAACTTTTGCCACACGGTAGGCATACCTTCTTTTCACAGAGTCCTTTCTCTGTTGTATGGCAAAACCCACATTTAGTTCCCAGGGGTACCCCTGTTCCTCTGTCCCTACGCCTCCAGCCCTTTGGTCTCAAGTACAAGCCAAGTTGTTCTCTACTGTAGTCACCCTTTTTTTCTTAGATTTAAGGGGTCAGGATAATTCAGGCAGGGATCCCAATTTGAAGAAGTGAGGAAACTGGTAGCAGGAGCTTAGGCCACCTGAATGAAGTGGATGCTAAGCCTAGCATATCCACAGCAGGCTTAGCATCAGCCCATCATTAACAGAGGATTCCAGGCACTACGCACCAGAACTATCTTCCTGAGTCTTTCTCCGCCTCATTCTTAGTAGGGCATGGCTTCCCCAGTGTGGTATGCAAGGGGACTGGGGTACTAAAGGAGGGCTACAGGCCTAGCAGAACACGTGCAGAGTCAGGGAAGCAGCTTGAAGCAAAGGGAGGAGGGTGGTGGGGACAAACCCACCTGCACGGACCACACCAATCCGTCTGCTGGTTGAGGCCAAAGCGAGCACGACATTTCTTAGGCGAGCCAGGGTCTGCTCACAGCCATGCCAGAGGGGCAGAGCAGGGCAGAGGGCGAGCAGGCAGGCAGCAGGGCAGAGCAGGCCCCAGAAAGAAGAGGTAACATCAGTGTCAGCCAGTCATAGATACCCCGTAGGCCCCATAGGCAGAGGGCCTTGCCATGGCGCAGCCAGCCCCATTGGGCGCCCCGGGACCCAGAGCCAAGGTATCAGGAAAGGTGGACACCTAGCTAGACGGCAGACGCAGTGGGAAGAATGGGGGAGGTGGAGGAAGGAAGGGATCCTATCAGGTTGGCTCCTCGCAGGTTGCAGCACAGGAGCTGTGGGAGAGGAGCCCATGGAGGCTCACAGTGATCCAGCCTCTTCTGCCTCACCGCCCCCCCCCCCCCCCCCCCCCCCCCCCCCCCCCCCCCCCCCAGTCTGCCTGTCCCATATCTCCCTCTTGCTGTAGCTTAAACCTAGTCCATACACCTTTTCTGATGGAAAGTAAAGCTGTGTGACTGCTGGACCCAGACATGGCTGTACCTCCACCCACACAGGCCGCTGCCTGTCTCGGCAGAATCATGCAGTCGGTTTCTCTGAGCAGGACTAGTAAAGGTGGGGGATTGTGTGAAGCGGTACACCAGTGGTACATGGGTCAGGGGGCTCAGAGCCATTCTGCACACGAGTGTTTGGCTTCCAATAAGTGGGCCTCGTCTCCAGAGAGCCCAGACCTTTGAAGGTCTGTGGCTGAATACTCTGCCCCCCTCTGGGCCAGAGCAGGGTGCTCCTGAAATGTGGGCCTGGAGGGGCATCTGCACTGCTGAGGGAAGGCCTCACCTGTGTTGGACTCCTGGTGCTTTTCTCGTGACCGCCTCTTTTTCTTCCCCTGCAGGGAACAAAGGGAGGGATGCTCAGATCCAGGAGGCGGTCCCTTCATAACGCCACTGAGTTGGGAGACATGCAGCCCAGCTTGCTTACCGCTGAGATTCTGGGTACACGATCCTCTCCTACAGGGAAGGGCTAGTATTTGACTGCAATTTTTATCAGGGTACCATGGGGCAGCATTTAGAGGCTCCTCCTCCCTTTCCTATGCTGGTCTCCATTTTGAACGGAGAAGACTTATCGGGCCTTTCTCTCCTCCTCCCCCACTGCCTACTCCAAGGGTAGTTCCCTTGTTTAGCTGGCTTCTGAGCTAGCAGGGTGAGGCCTTGAGCCCTTCACTGCACCTTATCTGTGCCTTCAGTACAGTGGTCTGCCTTTCCCCACGGAGATTTGGCCCAGGGCATGGCATCTTGAAGGTTCCCCTACCCATCCCTACTGTTGGTCACCAGCCACTCACGTAGTTGTCCCGCGCCGACCAGCCTGGGTACAGCTGCATGTGCAGCTGCCTCTCTTTTCGGGCCAGCTCGTAGTACTTGGCCTGCTCTTCCCGAGACAGCGCGTGCCACTGCAGCAAGGAGGGGATAGATGGTGGTGCATCAGGGAGTCACCAGGCAGCACCAGGAGACACCCCTGCCAGCCCACCTGCCCATGGCCTCACCCTGCGGCCCAGGATCTGGTTGATGGCAGCGCTCTCCTTGAGTGTACACTCTGCAATGACCTTGGCTCTCATCTCCTTCATGTACAGCATGAAGGCGTTGAGTGGCTTCTTGATGGTTGGCTTCTTGGCCTCCTTCTCTGCCTTGGATTCTGCCTGTGTCTTCCTGAGAGGCACAAGTCCAGATCACACAGGAGCCCTCCAGTGTCCAGCTAATGTCTCTACCTTCTTTTGAGCATGTGTCCAGTGTGTGTGTGCCAGGGCATGCAGGCTAGGGTTTTGTAAATGGTATCTTTTTTAGCTGCCCCAAAATGGGTGATCAGAGCTGAGTAACTTCCTTACAGAAATACTGTACCTAAGTAACAAAATCCTGTTTAAGGACATCACAACCCCTCCCCTGTTGGCTCAAACTAAATCTTTGTTCCACACCCCATCCATTCCCTCCTGCCGCTAAGGATCAAAAAACACTGGTCAGGGACACCCGGATGGCTCAGTCAGAGGAGCATGTCACTCGTCTCAGGGTCGCGAGTTCAAGCCCCACACTGGGTGTAGAGATGGCTTAAGTAAGTCCATCAACTTAAACCAGACCCTGGTCTGTCAGCGGCAAGAACAAGATGGCTTGACCAGAGTAGGCGTCTGGCAGTCCCGGGAGTTTCTAGGCAGCAGGCACAGAGCCTCGAGGCAGGAATGTTTTCCCTGGCAGATGAACAGATGGGAGCCTGAGATCTGCTCCCGTGTTCCCCTCCCTCTTCCACACCGTGGGCCTTTTCACTCACAGGCTCCGGTCATATGGCTGCAGCTCCTGCTTCCCTGAGGGAGGTACAATAGCTGGGTGCGGGATGGCCGCAGGGTGACCAGGGACACCGGAGCCTAGCATCAGGGATGGGTGGGTGAACCTAAAGGCAGAAGGAGAGTTAAAATTGAGCCAAGATATACATACAGTACAGAGCTTTGGACGCACCAAGGCCCCTGCACAGTACACAAGCACAGGTGAACAGACAGCCCACCCTGAACGGCTTGCACACAAGTACAAAGATACACACCAACACAAACACCTGCTTCCAAAGTGTTAGACAGACAGTGCAGAAATCTGTATCATGTCATTCAGGTGGCTACTAAGTCAGTCCTGAATAGCTTTAAATCTGGCTCTTACCTTGTGCTGTCACCAGCTCAGCCTCCTGAGCCTGTAGCTGCCCCGTGAGCTTCCTTACTCTCCTGCTTGAACCCTGCAGGCCTCTCCACACAACTCCCAGAGTGACCTTTTAAAAACACGTGAGTGCTCTTGGCCCCTCCTGGAACTCCCCCAGTGGCCACAGAATAAAACCCAGGCTCCTCTGCAGGACCTGCCCCACCCTGCACGAACATCCTGCTGACACTGCCTAGCTCCGTCTTTCCCCGTTTTCCATCACTTTCCCTTCCTAGCCATCCCCAATTCATGCTGTTCCCTTTGTCCCCTCTGCTCAGATGTCATGAAGTTCTTCCACTCTGTGTCCCTGCCCTGGCTGGGGTCTGGTTGGGGTATTCCCATCACCCAGAGAGCCCATTCAGCTGTCAGTGCTGGGTCCGTACCTCCCACCCTGGGCTGTGAACTCCAGTACGGCTGGACCTGTCTGCCGAGTTCCTTATTCCACACCTGGTGTGGGCATTGTCACTAAGGGAGTTCGCAAAGCGAAGGGACACAAATGTATACACACGTACCTTTCACTTCGCTTTTCTGCTGTTCTGTGGAAACCACTCTGCCCTTGCTCCTTTCTCTGAGCAGGCAGTCCCCAAGGGTCCAAGGTCACAGACCCATGTAAAAGGTGATGCCTCCGCTTGGGCAGGGCTCATGGAATGCCCAGGAGAGTTGGCCTGTCCCGCCCTTCAGCAGCGATGCACAGCACAGGTGAGCGCTCACACACCTGCCCATGGGCTGACTCACACGTGCACAGAGGCAGGAGCACAAGCACGCGTGCGCACTCACTGGCCCTGGCTGCTCTAGGGTGCTCGGCTGCACTGTTTGGCCTGGGCTTAGGCCTCTGGCTCTCCCACTGGCTTCATTCTCAGGCACAGGGCAGCAGGAGGCTGCAGAATGACAGACGGACAGATGGACAGACAACTAGCACAGGGCAAGCACTGGCCTGGGCACGGCCTCATATGGGCTCTGAAGCCTGGGCAACAGGAAGCAGGAACCTGGCTGCAGGGTATGGGACTCACCTGGGGTAGGGGGCGCCAGGGGCTGAAGTGGGGGCAGGGAAGTGCTGTCTATATCCGCAGGAAGGGGACAGGGGGTAGAGAGGAGGGCTGGGCCTGTGGTTGGGAGAGACAGCTGTTAGCAGTCTGGTTACTGGCCAGATGTAGGGAAGGACTTCCCCCACCTTGCTAGGGCCTGACCCATAGTGTAGTAACAGCCTCCGCCAGGACTCCTCCAGCGTACGTACGAAGAATCTGCCACCAGAGGGCAACCTGTGCTGCACCTGCTTCCCTCTACAGACTTGTACTGGCACTTAAAGGGCAGCAAGGACAGTATTTGCCTGGGACCCAGCGTAGAAGCTAGACCACCACCCTCCGCCCCCCGCCCCAGCTCACTTCCAGCCTTACTCCCTAAAGTTTCCTCATCAGTACAGCATAGATACCTGTCCTAAGGGTTTCACAGTCACTGTTGACACTGACTGGACTGTTCTGCCCCCTTTGCCCCTTTCAACTCTTGGTCTTTGTTCAGCTCTTGCTTGGCTAAATGACCTTTTTTCTGAAAGCCCTGGAAATCCCAGGCTGGATGAGGCACTCCTCTGGGCTCTTACGGTTCTCAGTAAAAGCACTGCTAACACTGCCCTATAATTGCTGGGCCCCTGGCCCGGGGAGTACACCCAAGGATCGGCAAACCACAGTCCTGGGAGTATCTGTTGGTATGGTCCTGACTGGTACTGGGGAATGGAGCCCTGTCCAAGGAGAACTTGAGGATGGAAGACTGAGCTGAATATGGATAAAGAGCAAGTGGAAAAGGGCAGGTGGGCCTTGGCTTGGACCTCTGGCCTTCCCTACCTTCCTGGAAAACCAAGATTTTCTGCAGTGGGGTGCTGCCCCAGCCAAGAGAGGCTACAGACGCGTCCAGAACACACTGTGGTTGATGAGCAAAGGACCAACCTGCTCGCCAAGACCTGGCTCCAGCTCAGCCCTCTGGCCCACAACGGGTCTACTAACTCGAGGTTCAGGCCGGCTTTTGCTGGCCCAGGCTTCAAAGACCCTCTTACTAAGCACGCTTTTCAAGGAGCCGGCCAGGGGCTTGGAATCAAGCAGGCACCAGAGGGGCCAAAGAACACTGTTCCTCAGGGAGCTCAGCCAAGGGACAGTCTGCAATAGGCCCTGAGATGAAGGGGAAGTATCCCCCTGCCCACCAGGTGGCTGAGAGGCAACAGCACGTCTTGTGGTCATTTGTATCGTCCCCTCCCTGCTCAGGCGGGCCTGCCTTTTTCCCTTACATTCTCTCCTAACCCTGAGCAGCTCCGTGCCCCCCGCCCCCACCAAGTCTCAGACATTGAGGCAGATTTCGAATGCGGGAGGGCGGAGACCAGGAGGCCACATGGGGAACGGGAAGAGCTGCCGGACAGCCCCCGGTACAGACACGAGAGCTGGCAGCAGGCTGCTGCAAGGAGAAGGATGCAGGAGGAAAATGAAACGGTAGGTATGGGTCTCACCAGTGCAAGGTGCCCACTTCCCACTGGGTCCACACTCACCAGCTCACAGTGTGGGGAAGCTGTCCCATGCTGCCTGAGGTCAGAGAGTAGAAGCCAGAGAGGTCAGCGGTCTGCAGAGGCCTGTGAACTCCTATGGTGGAAAGGGGCCGAGTAAGCCGTCTAGCCTGACCTGGAAGCCACTTCTGCTACTTCCTGCCTCCTAGCCCCTCCTGTGAGGCCTTTAAGATCCCACCTCCGTCTGCTAGAGGAACAGACATACTGGTTTGTTCAGCACTATTTCAGGGTGCTAATGGTGCCCCGTTTATAGGCTCGGGAAGCAAGGGCAGAGTGGGTGGGTGACCCGCATAAGGATACAGGCTGCCAGTGGGCGAGACAGACACCCTCAGGAGTGGGAGGGCCAGGCCTCGCCGTGCCCAGGTCCGCCACTGGTCTCCAACTGGGGCACTCTGGCCTGGCTCTCTGGGCAGGAGGCAGGCCCCCTGGCCTGGGCAGCCAGGGTTCCACCCGCCCCCTCTGGCTCCCCAGGGTTGAGTCAGCAGGTTTCCCACAGCCGACAATGGCTGATTTCAGAATGACTTTCCCTGAGGCTGAGGTGAATCAGCCATCACAACCACCACTTTCCATTTTCTCATTGGGGGCGGGGGTGGTGGGGGTGGTGGAGGATACAGGTTTTAGAATCTTCAGCTTTACCCAGATGCCTGCTCCCATATACTGGCCCTGGGAGGTTGCTCAGCATTTAGGCTCCTACCTCCACCTGAAACCTTCCACATTTGACCTGGTACCACCTGCCCTCAGGCTCCCAGGCTATCTTTCTGGCATTTTCCTTAGGCTTTTGAGTTTGCCCAGCCCCAGGCTTTCCAGGTGTTAAAAAGGACCTAAGCCCCCTGGACTTAGAAGTCCAGGACTTGGCCCCCAGGCTCTGGGACCAGCAGGCCCCTCCACCTCCCAGCTCCGTACCTTGCTTCTGGCTGATGTCGGCTGGTGCAGGTGTAGGGTGTGGGCTGCTGAAATGTTCATAGAGAGGAGAGAGCTGTGGGACGCTGTGGGCTGGCTGACTGGCCTTGTTGTGCTGAAAAATGAGGAGGGAGGGTGTGAACGTGGGGAGACCGGAAGGAGGAAGGCACAGGGCTGGGGCATACATATAAACAGAGCCCCTTTTAGCTGTGCGGGTAGCCCAAATGTCAAAGGAAAGTGGGGGTGGTTAAAACCACAGGCCTCAGGGGAAGGGGGCACCACTCAAGCCATACTATGTCCAGTGGCCCTGCCCACCGTCCCCCAGACTTTGCTTAAGCAGTGCCATCACCTGCCTCTTGGTTTCTGTACACTCAGTACCAGGAGGTGCATCTCCCCTGTCCAGGAAATTTCCTGCCTCTAGGACTGAGACACCCCCTCCCATTACTCCGAGGCCCTGGCACTTGTCTGGGGGGCTTCTAGCCTCCAGCCCAAGACCCCAGGTACTGATCTGAAGACCTGGAGCCTGGAGTTCTCTTTCCTACTTCTCCACCCCCAGACTTGGGGTCCTAAGTCAGACCCTCTGTTCCACCGCAGGCTTAACAGGATTTGTGGGCACAGGGAGGGTTCCCATCAGCACTCTAACTCAGAGCAGGTGGGTAAGGTGGGGCCGGGCTTCCTCCAGGGCCGACCCACCCAGCCCCCACACTTCCTGTCTCCTCAGCAACGCAGGACTCTTACTTTTCTCACTAGTCACATGGACCTGTCAGGAGATGACTCATGCTGGGAAGGGGGCTCCCCACACGACCCAGCCACAAGGAGGTGCTGCTTGGGGCCAAGGCATAGTTCTGCACGTCCCCAGTGCACATCTGCACAGTTCAGGACCCTGGAAGTACCATTGGTGCTCGGCTTCCACTTGGAAAAGTTTACCTGTGCGGATTCTGCTGGCCAGGAGCACAGATAAGTGCCTCTGACTCATGGCACAGAAGAAACGGGACTGCTTTGGAGAAGGACGGCCATGAGAGGTGGTGGCCTGGGCTCCTTCCCACCCTGTGGGTGAAATTTCCCACTGGGTGAATTTAGCCGGACTCTTTAACATCTCTGGGCTTCCGTTTCCTCGCTTGTGTAACGGATGGGTTTCTCGATCCCTGCATCACTAGGTCTGGGGAAGAAAGGTAGCTTATGGGGAGGCAGCCTGGAGCAGGGCCCTTTGGATGGGCTGGCTGTGGTCTGGGCTGAGGGGAGAGGAGGTCAAGTATGAGCTGTGACTCGGCCTGCCTGTGAGGCTTCAGGTGGACCCAGGCTCCCACACCTCCCAGCTAACTGCCCTGGCCACCCTCTTCCCCACATCCCTGCCTCCGGGGAGCTGGAGGCTGGGTTCCAAGCCACAGCACCCCTCCCCTCGGGGCCCAGGGAAGGTGCTGACCCCGCCCTCCCGTTCAGTCCCGGGCTGGTTCATCTGCCCACTGAGAACCTTACACACTAGGACCTTCTGTCCTCAGGCACACGAGGGCTGGTGTCCCAAAAGTGGCTCCTTTGTGGTGGGCATGGCTGTGTGGCACCACAGTGCCTTCCTGAGCATCTGTCCCTGGAGCCCTCTCTCTGCTTCTGGGGGCAGCCTAGGAATGACCACACTGCGGGCCTGAGGAAGAGTCAGCTGACCATGTTTAATGCTGGTTCTAACGTGCGTGGCCTTTAAGAACTTACTATAATATCTGAGCATCTGTTTTCTGGTCAAATGGAGATGACCTTAGGGCGGCTGTAAGGGTAAAGCGACAAGATACCCAAGAGCTCTATTACCCAAGTGTAGAGTCACGAGGCAGGGACGTGCAGTAGGCAGCTTACACGCACAAAGCAAGTGCTGCTCGCAGTCCTTCCCTGGCCCTGTGGTGCTGACCTCACATGGGGTGGACGGTTTTGGTCTGAATTCACCGGAGGGGATCTGCCTGGAGATGGAAGGCCCACCAGGCAGTGCCCTCGGCAACATTACCTGGGGAGGCTGAGGACAGGGCCATGGTGTCTCCAGGCCCTGGGTGCCGGGGCTTTACTGCCGCTGCTCCAAGGCTTCCCGAGCAAGCCGAGAGGCCCATGCCACACTCAGGCCTTCTTTATCCCCAGACACACATGGGGACACAGTCAGAGTATGTGTGGGAATGCAAGGTAGAAAGTAGGATCCTCAGGCCTGCCTGCAGGGGCTGGCAAGAGTACTGAGCATATGTGGACGCCCGTGGAATCCTTCACATGTTGAGTGCCTGCCACACGCGAGGCACTGTGCCAAGCACTTTGCAAGCCCAGGCTCATTCCCACTAGGGCACCAACAGGCTGCCGTTTCTCCCATCTGCAAATCTTCCTCGGCCACCACCTCACGTCTTGCTCCCCCCTTTGTTACAAACCCCAGAAGAGCCATCCCCAGCCTCGGCTTCCTGTTCTTAGTCTTGCACTCCCTTCAGCCTAGCCAGTCCCCTGCCCCATCACTTCACCAGATGGCGCTTGTCAACGTCCCCAGTGACTGCCAAACTGCTGAACTCAACGGTCAGTTCTCAGTCTTCCTTCTACCTGACCTCTCGACAGCACTCCACACAACTGACTTCTCCCTCATCGGTGAGAAACTTTTCTTTGCTTGGCTTCCAGAATGCCACACTCACCTATTTTTCTCCAAGCTCACAGGGCCACTCTTTCTTGGGTTAACTTCTGGCTCCTCATCTTCCTGCCCCCACCCAAGATGGGCCCTTGACTTTCCATCTATCATCCTTCCCAGAGTAGTCTCATCCAGGTGGTAGCTTTAAATGATCTGATGACGGACATTTCTTTCTCAGCCCCTAGTTCCCCTAGGGAACGCCACTCCCCGAATGCACACTCACCGAGTCTACCCCTAAGTCTGAAGCGCTGCCCAAATCCAGTACGTCCAAAGCAGAGCCTCTGGTTTGCTGCACTAAATGCTCCCCTCCATCTTCCCCAGTTACTGGCAATGCTCTCCTTCCAGTTGCTGAGATACCTTGGCGTAATCCTGGACTCTCTTCTCTCACACCCCGTCTCCAATTTGTCAGGCAATCCTAACAGCTCAACTTTCAAAATAATTTAGGGTCCTAATAATTTAGGAGGGAGGGATAGGCTTCCCTCCTCCCTATCCCCAACTCAGTCCAAGCCTCGTCCCTGCCCACTCAGACAACTCCAGTAGCTTCCTACCCTCCGCCATTCCTCCATCCAGCACCCCCGTGTCTCAGATCACACTGCTCGGTCCGCCGAGAGCCACCAACAGCCTTAGACAACCTACAAAGCTGTGTGTGGTGAGGCCCCACTCCCCGCCCCCCCACCCCAAGCCCACTGCCTCCCTCTCTCCCCTGCTCACTATGCCCAGCATTTCCCTTGTGTCCTCCAGCCTCTAGACTCCATCTCCAGTTAGTGTAGGGGATATGTTTTTTTTAATTTATTTACTAGAGAGAGCACATGCACATCCAAGTGGGGGGAGAAGGGGCAAGGGGTGAGGGGGAAAGGGAGGGAGAGGGGGAGATAGGAGAGGGTGGAAGCGGGGATGGGGAGGGAGGGAGGGAGAGAGAGAATGAGAATGAATGAATGAATCTTAAGCAGGCTCCAGGCTCAGCATGGAGCCTGATGTGGGGCTTCATCCCACAATCTCGGGATCATGACCTGAGCCAAAACCAAGAGTCAGATGCTCAAGTGACTGAGCCACCCGGGAACCCCAGTCTAGTGATAACTTTTAAGTGAGCCACAATGCAAAGTGGGCTGGGAAGCATCAGCTCTCTCACTACAGGATCCTGGGTCACTATGCCCCCTGAAAAATGAGGAGGAGAAAATCAGCCCTGATTACCTCACTGATCACAGATGCAAAAACTCTGCTTCGTGTTAGAATTCTGGGGAGCAGCAGCCAAGGGCCTAGAAGCATCCTGGAAGCCTCTGGGGCCTATTTATCCTGATAGGCTCCCAGGACAGTGGTAGCCAGGCAGCATCAACCCCGACCACACCTTGAGACAGACAGAGAGACAGCCCAGGGGACCTTCTGTCAAGAACCTGGGACTCTGGTAGAAGGCATTCCACTCTTCACCACCTAAGAGCACAAATGCCCGGAGCCCTGGCTCATTAGGTGGAATGAGCTCCCTCCACAGGTCCCTCCATCCTGGGGGCTTCTAAGTGTTAGCTCCTGCTTCAGAGAAGGCCTTGCCATCTAAGTCCCAATTCTGGCTCTTTGGCGCCCAAGAATGCAAGCCTGGCTGGGGAGTGGGACTCTGGGAAGGAAGTATTACTACCAGAGCCTGGAGGGGTGCCTGGGTGGCTCAGTCGGTTGGGCGGCCAACTTCAGCTCAGGTCATGATCTCACGGTTCATGGGTTCGAGCCCCGCATTGGGCTCTGTGCTGACAGCCAGCTCAGAGCCTGGAGCTTGTTTCAGATTCTGTTCTCCCTCTCTCTGACCCTCCCCTGCTCTCGCTGTCTCTCTCTCTCAGAAATAAATAAAACATTAAAAAATAATTAAAAAAAAAAAAAAAAGAACCAGAGCCTGGGGTCCAAGGTGCCAGCTACAGGAAGATAGTCTCAGAGTCCCACCCTGCCTAGGAAAAAGGGGGTCGGGGGGGACGGCCTGCTTCAAGGCAGGGAGAGGGTGGCTCCACAGTACATTTCTCAGCAAACCACCTTCCCTGGGGAGGGCTAGCTTTGGCCAAGAAACCATGGAGAGCCCCTCACCCGAGGGAGGATCAGAGCGGCCTCTCCTTGGCCAGGCTGCTTAAGCCCCAGGTTGCAGCACAGCCCAGCTGGGAAACCTCAGAATCCAGCTCAGCCTCCAGCCTCTGGCCTGGGATGCGTGTGGACAGCAGGGGTGCTGAGTGGGTGGGAGGTAGGAGGCGTGGCCTGATGGTCACAGGGCTCGCCCTGTCCACCAGCCTTCCCTGGGAACTACGGAAAAGCCTCTAATTAAACAGGAGTCTGCAGCCAAACCCCAGGAGAGATGCCAGGTAGGCAGGGGTGGGGCAGAGAGCCTGCCAGCAGCTGGAGGGCCTGCGGTGGCCAGGGCTCTGGGGGGGGGGGGGCACTGAGGGCCTGGCCAGTCCTTCCCACATTTACGCACGCTGCCCCCCGAGCCTCACTCCATGGCCCTTCTGAGT